CCTTCCCATACAGAACACCTGGCCATGCAACATGCCACCAGACAGACTTCAGGAGGCATCTTGTGATGGGAGAGAAATAGAAAATTTCCAAAGTGAAGCCACGGGATAAAACCAACACTTGATGCTTAGCTTTCATTTCAAGGAAAGTAGCATAAAGGCAATAGAAAAAGAAAAAGGTAGTTGAAAAATATACTTGCTCTCGACAAAAGAGACTTAAAAATAAAAAAAATCATGAACTTAATAATTTTCTTAAATGAAATTATACCATTATTCCTGATTTCTTTGTACTAACTAGAAGGGCAAAGTATCAAACTTCACTAAAGTTTCAACACTGTTATACATTTCATTAATCAAAGATAAAAACTACATTAAAAGCAAGAGAATTATTTTATGTCTGTGATTAGGCTGTTGGAGGGCTTATATTTCATGTATACATTTGTACACTTCAACTTATTTAACAGTGTCGGTTCACTAACTGCAGTTTTTTTTTTTTACATAAAGAAAATAGATTTAGAATTTTGAAAATTACAGTAATTTTATGCCTACAGCTTGCACCTCTTAGGAACCCCATAACCCCTAACACTCCCACTATTTCCACATCTCCTCCCTACCCCTCACTAAAACCACAAACTACAAGAGAACTGGTAATGGGGGGCTCAAAACCCAAGTGAAAAGCCACCTTAATTTTTCATGTGGAATGGAGAAATAAAGGGTACCAATGAAAACACAGTTACCTAAGAGAGCAGAAGCAAATGCCTACTGAGACCTGCATAGTACATTCTAATATTTCCCTTGGCTCTTCATGGTTGATACTTATTAATGCAGAACCCCACATGAAGAAAAAGGGAATAATAAAGGGCTCAACGATATATTATTGGTAGAGCTAGTAATGGAGAAGATGAGAGGGGAGGAGACACAGGAGAGAAGGGTGGCTATATAACTGGCAACAACTTTACACATTATTGGTATTAAAAAAACATTATCAAGAAGCCAAAAGAGGAAAGTTGTTGAAATGAGAGAATAGCAGCACTTTCTCCATGGCTCAAAATGCAGACCTTCCACTTGCTTCAATAAGCTATATGGCATGTAGAAATAATGGATACAATCATGAGGCGTGTCTAAGACAGATAGATATCCTCTATGATTCAAATCAGTCAATAATATGAACTCTCCAAAGATGGAACTCAATAATCTGCTAGGAGGGCTTTGCAAATAATTTACTTAATCTGGATTTATAAGTTGCCATAGTAATGATAATGTATATTTAAATAAACAAATAATAGGGAGTAAAGCTGTCATAAAATAAAAGGTTAAAAAAAAACATCTAACCACTACAGAGGCTTGAGGTCCATGGTAGAGTGTACACTTAGCATAGCCAAGGCCCTGAATTTGAAATCCAGAAATTCAGAAAACAAATCTGCTCCTTATGATCTTAATTATGACAGTGAGAATGAAAAAGTTCAGTTCCTTCTCAGTATAACAAGTCTTGACATACCAAACCAGTCTCAGACCTATCCACACAGGAAGGTTCATGACCATTTACTGTCCTGCTATTATGATAGAACTCAATACTCTGCACTTCCTTCAATTAAATAATATTCATTCATTTTTATTATTTTATTTATTTACATTCCAGGGGGCAGTTTCATCCTCCCTTCCTCCTAGTCCCTCTCCCCCTGACTATCCTCTGTTCCCACCCCTCCAATCGATTTCTCCTCCTGTTTCTATTGAGGAAAGGGCAGGTCTTCCATGGATATCAACAAAACATGGCATAGCAAGTTGCAGTAAGAATGAGAACCTTCAGATATATTAAGGTTGGGCAAGGCAACCACCCTAGTATGAGGAGTGGGTCTCAAAAGCCAGTAAAAGAGTCAGAGATAGCCCCTGTTCCTACTGCTAGAATTACCAGAAGAGGACCCAGCCACACAACTGTAACAGATGTAGAGAGGGCCTAGGTGAGTCCCATGCAGGCTCTCTGGTTGACAGTTCAGTCTCTGTGAGCCCCCATTAGCTCAGATTAGTTGATTCTATGAGTTTTCTTATGTTTTTTTTGACCTCTCTGGCTCCTACAATCCCCCCACCACTTCTGCAGGATCCCCAAAGCTCTCACTAATGTTTGGCTGTGGGTCTCTACATCTATTTCCATCAGTTGCTGGATAGAGACATTCTGATAAAAATTGGACTAGACACCAATCTGGTAACAGGAGAGTACAAAGTGGCTGTGGAAATCAATAGGGTGGTTTTTCAGAAAACTGTGAATTAATGTACCACAAACCCCAGCTATATACAACTCTCGGGCATATACACAAAGGATGCTCAATCATTCCATACCACAGAACACTTGCTCTACTATGTTCCTAGTAGCTTTATTCATAATAGCTAGAACCTGGAAACAACCTAGATGTTCCACAACCAAAGAACAAATAAAGAAAATGTGTTACATTTATACAATGGAGTCTTACAGAGCTGTTAAACATAGGGACACCAGGAAATTTGAAGACAAATGGATGGAACTAGAAGAAATCATCTTGAATGAGGTAACACAGACCAAGAAAGACAAGCATGCTATGTACTCACTCATAAGTGGATATTAGATGTAAAGCAAAGGATACTCATGCACAATCCACAGAACCAGAGAGGCTAGGTAATAAGGAGGGTTCAGGGAGGGGGATCATCCAGATCTCCTTGGGAAGGAGAAATAGAAGAGATTTAGTGAGTGAACCATGGGCAGGTGGGGATGGAAACGTAAGAAATCAGATTGTAGGGGATGGAGGGAGAGAGTACTAAAAGAGAATATTGAAAAGGGGTCCATTTCAGGTTCAGGTTAAAAACATGATGCAAAGGAATCTACACAAATGACCCCAGCTAAGTTTCCTAGCAATAGCGGATATGTAGCCTAAAATTGTATTCATTCTTAAGATGGGGCTTTTCCATGTGCCCGCCATTTCAGTTCCTGGCCACTGGAAAACTCAAAACAAAACAAAACAAATCCCAACAGGATAGTTTGCCATTGGAGCAGCAGGTTACTTATTAAACAACAAATGGAAAACTGGAAGGACTGATTAAAAAACTAGATTTGCTATGAGGGTACAGTGGGAAATGTGGAGGCACAAAGTGAAATGGAGAGGGCATGAAGGTTATGTTCACACCGCCTCACTTCTGGTAAAGAACATCTTTCACAGCCTTTCGAGCTATGCTATTTATTGCTAAGAAGCAAATTTCGCATAGTGGTCAGGAGTAGAAGCTTCATGTCATATAGACTTTAGTTAAAAAAAAAATCTCAGTACAGCCTCATGCACACTCATTATATGATAAAACTATCAGATACTTCACATAAGCTTCCTGCTCTATAAAATGGAGCTGCAATACACCTATGTGAAGCTGTCACTGTGACTGAATAAGATATGGTAAGTAGTTATCACAGCAAACAGAGTAAGCACTCAATGTAGAACAGAAAAAAAAAATGAAGCTAAAAAAGCATGCATTTATAGTCTCCTCCTCCCAGCTGAGGATTTATAAACATCATCAAATACAACTCAACATGGAGAATACATTATATGATTATTTTTGTAGCAGAATTTTATCTTCCTAATTATGTTTTGCTTAGGCAAATGTCAAAAATGAGTTTCCACTTCCAGATCAGACACTGATGGGATAGTTGGGATGGGGGTAGAGGGGTTGATCTCAGAAATACACTCAACAGGGGCAGGATGGAATAATATGTGATTTGTTGATGAGCTTTGGAAAATCCAATGACATGCCACAAAGACATACTGAGTACTATCTAGGCATAAATTCTGTGGACTGAAAGAAGATGGACATATTTACAAGGAACCCTGAAAGTAGGGTGGCAGGTGGCTATAGCACCATGTGCTGAGCACTCTCTCTGCCTCAAGCTCTGTGCTGAGCATAACACATCTTATTTCTCTCAGAGCAATTATATTCTATCACTCACAAAATAAATCAACGCACAGAACAAGATTCAGAAGCATGTTATATCAAAACCAACATTTAAACCAGGTCCCAGTGGTGCCAACATCCTGTGACACTCCAGCTAGACGTTTTAGTTTAAGTGGGGGACAACTTGCAACAAGCAGAGAGAAAATGAGGAACACATCATTTAAAGAATGCACAGAGTAGGGAGAATGTACATGGTAGGAGTGAGGTTAATACAGGTTGCAATTTAAAAACTAATCTGAAACTGTCAGAGCTAAAGCCTATGAAATGTCAATAGCATTAGTTACTTGGTTTTATGGAGAATGGAGTAATATCTAAAGACTTTATTGAGGACTATATTAAAAATATTCAGCTTTGCTTATGACAGAACAGAGCAGGGACCTTAAAAGCAAAGTAACTATGTTCTGGTCGCCTAAAAGTGTAATGAGGGACATTAAAAAAAAAAAAACATTTTTAAGCAAAGATGGAAATAATAATAACATAGCAAAGGAGTGAAATTGCAAAAAAAAAAAAAATCAAAGAAACATTGAAGTCTCAAGGTTAGTGGCTGCCTCCTGGGATGATGACAAATTAGGAAACAGCCAATTTTTAGAGAAAAACAGTGAGTCTTATTTTAGAAGAATTTAAAGCAAAAAAACTAAATGTTACAAAGTCACATTTTCTCATTTTATAACAAAATACATTTAGACAGACAAGATGAGTAAAAAAAAAAAAGCAAAAGCAAAATACCATTAACCTCCTTATTAATGAAAGGTCACTAATTAGACCTTTAACAATTTAAGCCCATAGACATATTGATACCTAAAATTCTTTCCTCCCTCTGCACTCATTTAGTATCACCAATAGAGCAAGCAGACTTACAAAGATTGACATTTGTATGTGGAGTTCACATTCTGATGGGAGATAGGAACTAAATAACTATAAAAAGCAATAAACAAATAACAGACGATGCTAAATCTACAAGCAGGGATCCTAATAGTTACAAGAGGACTATGCATCTCACAACTACCTTATGATGGTTTCCATGTGTTTGAGTCACTTACCTAGCCACAATGCAATGAGTACAGCATCAATTCCATCGATTGGCTCACAGATCCGGGCCACAACAGGGTGGATCTGCTGGGCCAAGTAGTATTGGGTGTCGATGGTTAAATTGTCCTGTTTCTGCAGCTGCTCAGGTGCATAGGCCCTCTGAGTTGCAGTGAGGTTTGACCCATCCTAATAGAAGAGAGAGTAAAGTTGTGAGCAAGCAACTCAATAATCACACATTACACTCACTTAATCAAATAAATGGACAACAGTTTAAATTTTATGTGCTCAGTTCCAAACACCAAGAAGCATTGTCCTATTGAAAATCTCACATGTATAAGACCAAGAACTTCTTGGCCTTAATTGTCGGAGAATATATAAGTTTGTTGTGTTTCTTACTGTCAGGATATGAAACCAGTAAGTAAGATAACACTAGCTAGATTATATAATTCTACTTGCCAAGACATAAAAAACACACTGAAAGACTGGTGTCAATTAGTCTACTGAAAAAGGCTTTTAAAGGCACAATAATAAAAAAAGAAATAACACTTCTTCATTCTGTTAATACAACAACTTCTATGTACAATTCCAGCCATAGAAGCATGCTGGTACCCATCCTTGCCCCAAATGAACAAGTGGAAAGCTAAGGAACTAAACCCAAGTAGAACAAGACATAAAAGACATAAGACAGAGGAGTAACAGTAATGCACAATACTGTTAGGGTGGTTAATTTTCATTGTCAACTTGAGTATCGGTGAAACACCCTTCTGAGCATGTCTGTGAGGATGTTTCCAGAGGAGGTGGGGAAACCAGCCCTGAAAGTAAGCATCATCATCCATTATGCTAAGGTTCAAGAACTAGTAAGAAGGAAAAAGGGAGAAAGTCAGCAGAGCATCTGTCTACTGTCCCCTGTTCGCTGCTTCTTGGGCCAATGAAATGTAAACACCTTCACTCTCCTGTTACCACAGAGTAAAAGGCAAACTGGTTGCACTGCCATGGCTTTCCCACTGCGATAAACATGTATCCTTTCCAACTGTGAGCTAAAATAAATCCTTTGTCTTTTGATTCTTTCAGGTATTTTATCACAGGGACAAGAATCTACCTTGAAAGAAGCAGTGCTCAAAAGTCAAATTATCTGACCAGCGGAAGGGGTATTACTTTGTACTATTAAGCTGGCTCCTCCTCAAGCAAATGAAGGTGGTTTACAGACTCATTTCAAGAATTATTTCTTTTATACTATAATATTAAAGTTGTGAGATTCTATGTAATTAGCCCACATACAGCTCTGTGGTGATGTCACTGTCATCTGTGAATCAAAAAGTCATCATTCTACTGGACCAACATCCAATGACTCACTCCACTCTTCCTCTTGACTGAAACAACAGAATTTAATATTCAGACTAGTAAATTATAACTATTCACAGGGCTCAGCTGTTCTGCAGAACTGATTATAATGTGAATCCCATTCTTTTACTCCTGCCACAATCAGTCTCTTCCCAGCTCAGCATCCAGCTCAAAGCAGAGGCAACCTTCCACATCACTCACTCACTATCTTTACAAGATCCAAAGCAAGGCCTTGTCTCTCAGATTGTGTTCCAGATAAAATGTACTGTGCTTCAACTAGATTTTACCCAGCCTAAGGCATAATGAAATTCTTAGAAAGAAAGCAACCCTCAGGTTAAATTTGTTTGTTTGTCCATATTTCACAACTCAGTCAAGAAAAAAATTAGAATTAATCAGTCTTAGTCATTATCTTTTAATAAACTTGAATTGTAAGGTGAAATAAGGCAATACAATAGTTGCTAGCCAAGAGTTTGGAAACAAATTGTCATGCTGTATATTAATATGTGCAGCCTTTTAGTACCAGAATCTATGCAGCCTAAAGAATTGACCATATTTGATGAGTTTAAACTTTTCTTTCATTGTCTTTTGTTGCTGTTAAAACTGATCTTATGCTGTCCTAGGCTGGCTTCTAGCGTAGTGCTGTATCAAAGGAGAACCTTGAACTACTACTTACCTTCCCCTCTCTACTTCCAAGAGCTGGGCTTACAGGTATGCTCTACCACACTCAGCAAACTATCATTTTTTAAATGGTGAATTAAAGCTAAAATTGTAGAGGTGAAGAATGTTTAAGGCACTGTGGGACTGGAGGGAAGAGGTAAAGTGCTTCCTTGCCTAGCATGAACATGGTCCTAAATTCTAAGCCAAGAACTGCAAAATAAACAAAACCAAGTGCTTGAGTTACTTTCCAGTATGTCACTAAGTCCTCATAAAGGAATGTTTTTACCTTTAAAGACCAGTTGAAATTTTCTGAGCATACTCTCTACTTAAAGGATTTTAACTCTAATCTAAATAGCTTATAACTAAAAGTGACTTCAACATATTTCCTACTGTATTTTTTTTTTTAAAAAATCTAAGCTCAAAAAACAGCACAACTGTTTAATAACAGGTTTTACGATGTGTGCTGGGAAAAGAGTTAGGCTCACCTAAGACATATTACTCAAAGATCTACTTCTTAAACTGAACAAGATCTCAAGGGCACGTGGCACAAATGGACATATGACACGCATCTTTTAAGAACAGATAAGGAAGCAAGGTTGGTCTTTCTTGAGGGTTCCATGAAACAATTCATCAATTTTAGGGATAACCAGATATTCTATGTTAGCCATTGTTAGTGTGAAACTAATTAAGGAAAAATCTAAGTGGTTAACAGGGGGGGACCTCTTATAGCAATTATGTCAAAGATATGCCTTAAAAAAAGTATGACTAATGAAAAGTTAAGTAACTTCAGGTTTAAAATTAGTAGACAGGAGACTGATGAGATGGTTCAGCAGTTAGGAGCACTTGCTGCTCTTGCAGAGGATTGAGGTTTAGTCCTAGCACCTACATGGCAGTTCCCAACAGTCTGTAACTACAGTTCCAAGGAATCTAATGCCCCCTTCTGGTGTTCACAGGAACCAAGTACACATGTTCCACCACATACATATAGGCAAAACACTCATACATAATTTTAAAGATGAATCTTTATCGGTAGGATACACTATTCTACACATAAAACATTAAATAAAACTGAACCGGTTTGAAAAACAAGCTAATCTTGGAAGACAACTTGGCTTAGGGAAGTACACAATCTCCTTAGAAATTTGTCACCATACATCATTACAAACTTATTCTAAATATTATGCTATGAAACTTAAAAGAAAAAGAGATGGGCAGCTTTGGCTACTAAATATACTAAAATGTGGGAGTGTCCCACTGTGGGGAACGATGACAAATTAAAATCCTATGCTAAGGAAAATAAGTGGATAAAAACAAATATAAGTTGTATTTTAAAAAAGAAGGAACAGTATTCTTGTGTGGGAAATGTTAAAACCCCATCAAACTGGGTTTATTGTACCACATTAGCATCAGAATTTTAAGGACATATTATTAATCAAAACAAGAGTAAAAGCAAGTATTTTGACATTAAGGAATACATCTTTGACTTTTATATATCACCAAATACCTCCATTCTAGTTTTAAATACTTTTTATTTAAAATATACCTGACTTGATCTCATCATTGGAGGTAATTTCACTAACCATGTACATTTTTCAAAGTTGTAAGCTACCATCTGCTCCTGTCATTAATAATCTAAGACCATGTCCATGTATGTGAAGACATAAGTGAAAAAAAAACTAGCCTATTTACCAAAATCATTATTTGCATAATTTGAAAATAATTTTTTTGAGATGAGACTTGTCAGAAGCAATATGCAAAGCACATTAAGGATTTGAGCAAGCCAGACATTTATGGAAATATTTTCCTGTAGGAATTGGCTTTCTCTAACAGTTCTTAATCAAGGGTAACCCTAGGAGGGAGATAGAGTCAAGTGTTGATTCCTGTCCATGTACTTATCATTGTTATGTACATTATCTACAGTATGTGGCAGATATCACATTAACAGACTAGCTTTTGATTTCATAAAGCTCTATGCTTTTTAAAGCATACTGGTTGTGTTTTAGCAAAGGTCAATTGTATAGGAATGAATTTTAAAGTTTATATACAAATTTTTACAGTAATAAAATAGTATGACTCTTATTATCTTAAGGATTTTATTGCTGTGAAGAAACACATTTATTGGGGCTTGCTTACAGTTTTGGAGATTTAGTCCATTAACATCATGGCGGGAAGCATAGCAGTGTGTAGGCAGACATGGTGCTGGAAATGGAACTTAAGTGTTCTACATCTTGATCCACAGGTAACAGGAGACTATGAGCCACACTGGGCACAAATTGAGCATATATGAGACCGCACAGCCGGCCTCCTTGGTGACACACTTCCTCCAACAGGGCCACATCTACTCCAACAAGGCCATACTTCCTAATAAGGCCTAAACAGGTGAAGCACTTAAATACAGGAGTCTATGGGGGCCAACCTATTCAAAACCACCACATTAATGTTAAAAAAAAAAACTTATGAAGCTGAATTACACATTGAGGTAATTAGACCATGCAACAGTGACTTTAAAGAACTTGAGACACAGGGAGAAAAGACTGGTGTTCCTTTATTCCAGCTGGAGTCAAGGGGAAAATAATCCTGATGTCCTGCTCTGCCCTACTTTTCCTTCACCCTCTCACACAAAACTAGTTGAGAAAGCATATAGTTTCCTTACAGGTCCGTACAAAATAGGGAAAAAGAAAACATGGGAAGGAGAGAAGCTGTAGGGAGAGGGAAGTAAAGTAAATCTTTACATATCCATGCATTTCATATTGTCTAAAGTAATTATTTTGATAAGCTAGGAAGAAAAATCATTTAGTCTATTATTCCACTGACTCATAATGAAAATTATCAGTCACAAAAGGAATAATCAAAAACAACAACAACCACAGGGTGTTAGTGGTGCACACCTTTAACCCCAGCAGTCGGGAGGCAGAGGCAGGAGGATCTCTGTGAGTTCGAAGCCAGCCTGGTCTACAGAGGGGAGTTCCAGGACAGGACCCAAAGCAATACAAAGAAACCATGTCTCGAAAAACAAACAAACAAAATACCCAAAAAACAAAACAATACAAAACAAAAAAATCAACCTACTTCTGTTGCTGAATATACCACCAAAAGTATACATGCTACTTCATTTTCTCTTTTTGTAATATTGGGGATCAAAGTCAGGGCATCACACATACTTAGCAAAAGTTCCACCACTGAGCTACAACCCCAGCCTATGACATATTTTCACAGAAATTAATTTATAGTTGAATCAGTAGTAACTGTTATGAAATTCTCATGAAAATAATTTCAATAACCTCCAAAAGCTACTTTCAATTTTTTATAAAACTTGTAATGCAACATGACAAAACATTTTTTTTTTTAAGATTTGAAAGTTAGTTGAACTAACCACCTCAGTATGGGACCAGTTATTTAAAAGACTCCTACTAAGTAAGATACTATGGCAATCTGGATTTCATCCAAGATTCCTGTATATAGACCAGTGGTTTATCTGTATACATGTTCATGTGTACACATGTGTGTGTAGGACTGGTCAACATCACGTGACTTGCTCAATCACTCTCTATCTTATGTTTTCTTTGTGTTTTATATATAGGGGTATTTTGCCTGTACATATGTCTACACTACCTGTGTACCTGGTGCCTGAGAAGGCCAGAAGAGGCTATGAGATCCCCTGAGACTGGAGTTACTGCTTAACTGCTGAGTCACTTCTCCAGTATCCTACCTTATGATTTTAAAATAAGGTCACTCAATGAATGCCAGAAAGCTCTGAGGATCTGCATGTCCCCACCTTCCAAAACTACAGTTATAAATACAAGGCACTAACCCTGCTGTTTTATGTGAGTGCTGAGGATCTGAACACAAGTCCTCATTCCTGAGTAGCAAACAATTTACCTATTGAGCCTTTTCCAGCCCAGGATTCTTAGGAGGTACAAGACTCATAAAACACAATAGTTTTACCTGACAGATGACATAGGATACCGTATCTCCAGCTTTCACCTTCCGGCCTCCTTGAGAATTTATCCAGAGGGCAACGTGTACATGAGGTAGGCTTTTTTTATCAGGGTAATCCTGCGGATCCTTTGTCAATGCCTAAAAGACAAAAAAGGAAACAATAAACTCATCCATGTTTAAAATAAAACTTTCTATACATATTTACATCAAATACATTTTTGTAAGTAACATATAACATGAAAATGACAATGTATATAAAAAACATGGTTTCTCTCTGTGTCACTTAGTAATTGGCATAACCACATACAAGCCTAAAAAATATATGTAAGTTTATGGGCTATGCCACATAATATTTGAATATCTAAAATAATTTAGACTCTAGATCCAGTGTTCCATGAAGCCTTAGAGTTTCTCCTCATGCTTGTAGTTTTCTCATTTGATTAGTTGGGATCAGAGATTAATAGCTACTCTGATTTAATGATTTGTTTTTTAGTCTTCTCTAACTAAAAAAAAACCCTAATGTACCACACAGCACTGAATTTACTCTCTGAATGTCAACTTGAGCTGTATAGAGTACAATGGGTTTGTAACAGAAAGTGAGCACAACATGAGCAAGAATAGCACCAGTCAGAAGAAAGTTGTCTATCGTTTTTTAACACAGGGTTTCTCTATGTAGCTGTGAAGCCTCTCCTGGCACCCGCCCTGTAGAGCAGGCTGGCCTGGAACTCACAAGATATTGCTCTGCCTCCCAAGTGCTAGGATTACAGGCGAGTGCCACCAACACCCAGCCAGGAAAGTGCCCCCCCCCCCCCGTGCGCCCAACAATACTGTTTTCACTAACAATACAAAAGGAACTTTTGGTAAAAAGTGGTCATACCTTATAAATAAGAATACTAACAATAGCACCAAATTGTACTAACAGTCAGTGTATTACTTTCCACTACCATAGCAAGATATTTTACTTAAGAACATCCTTGACTAAGCAATAAAAACTAGTAACTTTGAGGGGCTGATCTCCAAAATATACAAAGAACTCAAGAAACTAGTCAACAAAACACCAAATAACCTTATTAAAAAATGGGGTACAGAAATGAAGAAAGAATTCTCAATAGAGGAAATCAAAAAGGCTGAAAGACACTTAAGAAAGTGCTCAACATCCTTAGCTATCAGGGAAATGCAAATCAAAACAACTTTGAGATACCATCTTACCCCTGCCAGAATGGCTAAAATTAGAAACACCAATGACAACTCATGCTGGAGAGGATGTGGAGAAAGGAGAACACGCCTCCACTGCTGGTGGGAGTGCAAACTAATACAGCCATTTTGGAGATCAGTATGGCGGTTCCTCAGGAAAATGGGAATTAGTTTAACACAGGACCCGGCAATCCCCCTATTAGGCATATAGCCAAATGACACACATCCATGCAACAAAGACATCTGTTCAACTATATGCATAACAGCATTATTTGTAATAGCAAGAACCTGGAAGCAACCTAGATGCCCTTCAATTGAAGAAAGGATAATGAAGATGTGGCACATCTACACAATGGAATACTACTCTGCAGAAAAAAAAATAATGAAATTCGCAGGCAAGTGGATGGCACTTGAAGAAACCATCCTGAATGAGGTAACCCAGTCACATAAAGAGGAACACAGTATGTACTCACTCATATATGGATTTTAGACCTAGATCAAAGGATAACCAGCTTATAATTCACACCATCAGAGGAACTAGGATACAAGGTGTATTCTAAGAGATTCATAATAAATCCCTCACAGAACTGGGAAGGGACAAGTCCCCCAGAGCACAGGGCAAATGGGGGGGCAGAAAATGGAGAGAGAAGTAGGAGAAAATGAGGGGGAGGAAAGGAAAACATGTGCGACTACGAAGATTGAGCCCTCTTAGGAATAGAAGACAGGAGGGGGGGGAAGGGAGGGAGGGAGGGATAGAGAGAGAGAGAGAGAGAGAACATAAAAGAGGGAGCCAATATTGGCTTGAAGAGAACTGAACCTAAAGAAATGTCTATAGACCTACAAGACTGCCATCAACTAACAATTTGAGCATCCATGGAAAGGCTATCATAAATGCCCTTCCCGGATAGTGAGATCAACAACTAACTCATCCATGGAGCCCTCATCTAATGCATGTTAGAAACAGGAGCAAACACCCATACATAAACACTGAGTCGAACTAGAACCCAGATGCAGATGTAGCTGACAAGACCAGGCTGCAGAAACACATAGAGACAGCTGACCTGAACAAGGAGGAGGTGATGGGGCCCCAAACTGATAGCTGGGAAGCCAGCATGGGACTGACTCAGGCCCCCCTGAATATTGGTCTTAGCCAGAAGGACTGAGCAGTCTAAGGGACCTCAGACAGTGGAACCAGGATGGATCCCTGGTGAACAAAATGACCTTACGAACATATCCCCCATGGAGGGATAACTATCTTAACCTAGAGACAGGAGAGAAGCCCTAGTCCCTACTTCACATGACCTATCAGATCTACATGACCCCAACTGGATGGCATTCCCCTACATATGGAATTGGGGTGGGGGAATGTTAGGGGAGGTTGGTTAGGGTGCATGTGAGAGGGCAGAGATGGTAAAAAGGAGGCAGGGATGGAGGGAGGGAGAGACAGAGGGAGAGGGAACTGGGATCGACATGTAAAATAATAAATTTAAAAAAAAATGATTATCATAAAATAAAAAAAAGATTGAGATTATCCAATGATTTTTCAATTAGATTTAGAAAGCTTCATAAAACTAAAAAAAGAAAAGAAAAAAATAGAGGGGCCTGCTAAGATGGCTGAGTTCAGTTTGATCTCTAGTATTGATATGGTAGAAGGAGAGACCTAACTCCTTCAAGTTGTCCTCAAGCCTTAGCATGAATGTCATGGTACATGAATCTCCACATATGTACTTACTTACACACAGTCCTGTGTCACTCCAGCTGTAAACACACAACATACAATTTCAAAATATTTTAAATGTTTCCTTGTGGTTTAAGCTTCAGGTAGCTATAGCAATGAAAAATGAGCATCAAAGTAGGTTGTGTTATCTCATATATTTAAGATTAAAATACTTCAGAAAAATCAGATGTTTTTTGATTGTCTAGACAAGGGCTAGAATCTCTACATAGGTAAATCTCATACTTTTTGCAGGTCCCCATCCTAATATAACTTGCCATTTTTTAATGTCTATCAAGATTACCTACAAAAAAAGAATAAAACCAAAACCACACTGTTCTAATACCATTCACAAATCATTGTCTCTTCCATTCTAGTTTCCTTTGAAAACAGTAAAATTTAAAATAAAAATTTCCCACAGATTTTAAATGATATCAGCATTCAGATGAATATTAAAGATTAATAGAAAAACAACTCACCTTTCACATATGAATGAACATCTTACTATAAATATATACAGGCCTCTACCCATGACATATTTATCAGAATGAACTATATTTGCATTAGCACTACAGAAATGTTAAAAAGAAAAAAGGGTCACACTTTGTAGCCTTGGCTGGCCTCAAACTCAGTAAGTACCCAAGGTTGCCTTGAACACAGAGATCTGCCTGCCTTTGCCTCCCAAGTGCTGGGATTAAAAGTGTGCACTAATATATCCAAAAGGCACCCTTCTTCATAAATAAAAACATAAGGGCTGAGGAGACAGTTGTATCATTAAATAACTTAACCTATGTTAAGAAAACGAAATAACAAAGCATCCAACTTAGTTGCTAGTACTTATCATCCTTAACAATGAAGAGGCAGACAGGTAGCTCACTGACACTGCCAAGCCAGTCAGTCAGCGAGCTAAACCCACTCAGTAAGTTATGAGTCAGTGAGAACCCGTCTCAAAATACAGAGTGGGGGCTAGGAAGATAACTTATACTTGCTGTGTAAGCAGGAGGACCTAAATTTGATTCCCAGAAACCATGAAAATAAGTTGGGTACAGACCTGCCATTGCAATCTCAGCACTGGAGAGATGGAACCAGGTGTATCCCTGGAGCTCCCCATCTAGCTAGCCTGGCCTACCTAGCAAATTCCAGCCAGTAAGAGTCTATCTCAAAGAAAGAAAGTAACATGCACACATGCACGCATGCATGCATGTGCGAACACACACACACACACACACACACACACACACTCACTCACTCACTCACATGCACAAATTGTATTATTGTATTATTTACAGTGAAGAGCTAGTGTTAAAGCACATAGATCCCAAGGTAGGATGTAAATATCTTTTTTTTTTTAACATTAAAGACATAATGGTCAATGTATAGAAAACAAAAGGCTGACCTACAAATAAAGATAAGTCCTTGAAAACATTTTAAAAATCAAATAAAAACAAATTAAACCCACTGTAAAAGTTTCATATCCACTATGTTAGCAATGTTTTATTTTAAAAATCATCACCACTACAAAGAAACTGTGATGAAAATAGCATTCGTATTTTGTTATTATTAATTGGCACCATCTTTTCACAAAACAATTTTCCTAGATCCATTCAGATAGTCATATCTTTTGACACAAATGTTTTATTTCAAGGAACACAGAATAAGTAATCAATCTGAAAGCAAAATGACAAGTGAATAAAGATGTTCAATGCAGTTATTTACAATAGAAAAGGAAATTTAATAATCAACAAGGAAAAATTAAATAAACATGTCAACAAAATAGGTGATTAATGTATTGGCCAATTTTGTTTTATGGGTGCTAGGAATCAAACCTAGGACCTTGCATGCAAGATTTTTCCAATAATATAAAAATAATATTTTTCAAGTAATATACATACACAGAAACCAGACATGATGACAATTTAACCTGAAATCCTGGCAGGTGGGGTGGGGTAAGCCAGAGAGGTTCAAGGCCAGCCTCAAGTGTATATACAATTCAAACTAGCCTGAGCTACATAAGACCCTGTTCTGTCTCAAAAAATAAGATGGGTTTCTAAATAATTAAGTAATTCTATAAATATAAAATGTTTTAAAGAATATGGAATTGTGGAGAAAATGACAGTCATTATTTTAGAATTAGCATGAATTAGGTTTCATTCAAAAAGTTCGCCTTAATGTCATCAACTGATCCTTTAAATTTTTTGTATGAGCTTTGAAAAAGAAACATAGCACAAAGTGGATAAAGTGATACTTGAAAATTAGCTTCTGAATATGTAAGGATACTTGTTTTAAACAGGAAGAAACCCTATTAACCTACCATCTTGGTTATTATACAATACTTTTAGAAATCAAGATTTTGTTTTTCAAATTAGCTAAGAAAAATATATCCATACCCTTAATGTGATATGGTTTTGTTTAAGATGCACAAGTGCTACAGAATAAGTTATAGGATTAGTTGCCACTGTCTTAATTCTAACTGAATCTGTACCCAAAAGCCTTTTGATTACAGATGTCCTAAGGATCACCATCTGTGAAGTGTAACACACACACACACATATTTGGAGGTGGAAGCAGCAGAAAAGAGGCTAGGAAATACGGACAACGAGGGAAGGGGAGAATATTTGGAGGTGGAAGCAGCAGAAGAGAGGCTAGGAAATACGGACAATGAGGGAAGGGGAGAATGAATGAAAGAATAAGAATATTAATGAACAGGTCTATGTGTGAAGCAACGATTACTTTGGAGGACTATAAAAAAGGAAGCAGCCTCTAGGCCGACATATAACCTAACTCATTCCAACAATGTCGGAAGTAAAAAGAAGTCTCATCTGTACCAGATGTGGCAATACCTGTGGCTGAAAGAGCTATGCTAATGTTCAATCTGTGAACCAGTTGGTAAGCAGCTTTTACCCCTAGCCAGAATTTATTTAAATTGCAAGGATGAGGTGGTTCTTCAACTATCTGAAGGAGGAGAAAAACATATGACAGCAGCTGGGCTCAGCAATAAATGCTACATTTACCTTGTTAATTTCAAACTGGCTCACTGGGACACTGCCATTTAGCACATTTTCTCCAATTTCTATTAACCTCTTCTGAATGTTTTCCACAATGGTGTCCCGGCTTTGATCCGAAAGAATCTGGCCAATGACAAAGCTGTATGAAGAAAGAAAAATATGATTTCTAATATGTCATTAGCAAAGAAAAGATAAGAGACTGGCATGTGGACAGGAGCTATGTTAAGAGCTAATATGAGGGTTAGTGTCTAGAAGGCAGTTTAGACTTTAGGAGTGTTTTGCCTACATGCATGTCTTTATATCAAAATATGCTGGTTATATGTACAGGTCAGCAGAAGGTATAAGAGTCACTGAAACTAGAGTTAAGGATGGTTGGTACTGGAAATGAATCCCAGGTCCTCTGCAAGAGCAACAAGTACTCTTAACCACTAGGCCATTTCCCTAGTCCTCACTGTTTCATTTTATTTTTAAATATTAACTCTACCAAAAATTTACTAGCCTAAGAATTCTAGTTCTGCCCTTTGACATGTAGAGCACTCATTTATATAGCAGCTATGTTTTATGTAATATATAATACAAAAAAATGTGTCACTGGATTTTATATCATTATAAAATCCAGAAGCAATTATATTCTAATCACAAGTTAAAGTTGTAGAAGATAATTTTTTTTAATCTTTATTCATAAAAACAACAAGATATTATCTCTGGCATCAAGATACCATCTCCCACCTAAGATGACTATTTAGTTAGGTAAGATAAAATATTATTCACTTTAAGTAAACAAAAAAAATCTAAGGAGCTAGAAAATTGGCTAAGTGGTTAAGAGTACTTGTTTTTATGAATGACAAAGATTCAATTCTCAGTACCTACATGACAGCTCACAACTAGAGTGCCTAGGGATCCAATGCCCTCTTCTGACAACCATGAGCACCAGGCATTAACATATGCACAGAAATACCTGCTTGCAAACCACTCATACACATAAAATAATAAATAAAAACAGGGAGAAATCAAAAGATATTAAACTCTTCTTCTTTTCAGCTCCATTACAAATTGCTCAGTGTTCTCTTAAATTTATGCTATCCCTCAAAATATTCATATTATTGAACAAAGCCTCAAGGAAGTAGAAAAATAAAGAAGCCAATATTTTATCCATTTTTGAGAAAATGCAGAGAAAGAGTCTGACAGCTGCTTTAGGTTTTGTCAGAAAAAGAAACCCTAACAAAAACATTTGTATAGCTTTAATTACTAATACATTTCTGACTCAGAGAAATTTATTTCTATTATGATGCATCTTTTCTTAGAAAACACAAAAGCAGAGAACATTCTAATCGACAGCCTATACAAAGTAATTTCATCTTGAGTATATTTGGGGGCAATGAAGCATTTCAAACCACATTTCATAAAAGGCAGACCATGACCTGTACTCAGACGATCAACTTTGCCTAATCAAGAGTAGTTTTGCAGAAGCAACATTTGCTCAATTACGCACCTTGAAAGCAGAAAAGATTGGAAAATAAGTTTGAGATGCTAACATTTAGCAAAAATTAAAAGTACCTTTGAATCTAGCAATAAAGAAAAAATTCTTTTTTCAAAACTGATCTAGATCACAAAATAGGAATGTGCAAAAATGTATAAGTATTACTACATTTTCAAATGGGTACTTTATACATTAATGTGACCACAAACAAGCAAACAAACAAAAAAAAAACCCTTTTAATCAAAATCTTCATTTTAAAGTACAAGGCTAGTGGGTCATCTATTATTTCAGAACCACAAAGGGTAGCACTCAAATTAATCTGAGGCTAATAAGAATCAGTTATGTACAAATGATACATGGGAAAAAAAGTCTTACTCCATGGCCTACTCTTAATCAGACACTTTAAGCTACAAAACAGGAAAATCATAAAATTATATTTATAATCAGGATCTAGGGATTCAGGGGTACAAAACACAACACATTCAAAAAGAGGAATAAAAAATCAGTATCAACAAAATCAACTCTTTAAGATCCATGTATAAAGATTTACTTTCATCATAAGATGTTAATCTTATACCCAGTATTTTTTACTGTGCAAATTTAGCTTTATGTAACTTTTAATCTTACTGTAAAATTCTACTTGTAATGTGTGATAATAGTAACAACAAATAATGAAGTTGTATCCTTATGCTTGGCAGACTTACAGGCATTGTCCATAGCACTTAAATTTTCTTAAACAAAAATTTGAAAGACAAACAACAAAAACAAAATAAAAAACTAAACTCACTTTCCAGTGTCCTTGGCAAGATCACACCAGTCTCTTCTAACTATATCTAATCCCTTTAGCTCCTGTTTGGTAATGTAATTCCCATCTGATGTTGGTTCAACAACCAGAGCAGCATATTTCTTTTTCTTCAGCAGTAGCAGAGACTTGAAAACACCATCAATGTCTATTTCAAGCAGTTTGTATAATTTATTCACTTCATTTTTTACCTGTGAAAATTTCAATATTATTGTCAAGATTCTCAAACACCTAACAGGAAAAAATAAACATTATATACATTCCCAAGAGTTAACCTCAACAATACTTAAAGGTACATGTAATTAAAATGTATTATCCAACTTATATAACAGAATTATTTAGTGTACAATTTAAAAACACTAAAAAACAAAGAACAAAATCAGATCTTAACATCACTCTCCAGTGTTTCACAGGAAGACTATCAGTCAAAATATCATATTAGCAACAGCTTAGTTATGAAATCAGCATAGGTGTCTATCAACAGAAGAATGGATAAAAAACATTCAGTATACCCATACACAATGGAATTTTTTCTAGACATAAAGAATGAAATTGATATGTATGTATAAAAATGGATATAATAAGAAATTATAATATTGAGCTAGTTAAGTCAGAATCAGAAAAACAATTATTGCATGTTTTCTCTCATTTGTATATTTTAGATTATAAAGATACACATCCATACACTTATAAAATCCTATGACATGAAAGTAGAAACAAAAAGTAATTACGAGAACAAAGGGGATTGACTCACATATGGGGATAGGAAACTATGGGAAACATGCTCAAAGTACATTGCAAACATGTATAACAATGTCTATATAAAACTCAGAAGTGTTTATAATGAATATACACCAATAAAAAGAAACTAAAGATCTCAACAACATGGAAAATTGAGTCAGGATGATGGCAATACTGAAGTCAATTTGGGGTGGATACAAATTTCAAGACCAACTTAAGCTATTTAGCAAGATCTTATCTCAAAAATAAAATATTTTAAAAAAACAGATAATAACATAAATATTATTCTGCTGGGCAGTGGTAGCAAACACCTTTAATCTAAGCACTTGAAGGCAGAGGTAGATAAATCTCTGTGAGTTCAAGGTCAGCCTCGTCTACAGAGTGAGTGACAGGACATAGAGGAATTCTGTCTCAAAAAACTAAAATCAATCCATACAAACAAGGGTTATGACTGGCTCTCTTCACTCCAGGAAATACATAGTAACTACAGGAAATTATGTGTATGTCTTTCTTGAGTATAAAACAATGCATATTTTTTGTCTTGAAACTACTGAACTGATTAACAATTAGATAATCCAATAATTATGTGAAAAAATAAAATTTGTTAGAAAATGTTCAAAATGCCTGTTAGCACCTTTAGTATAAATAAATAGCAATGTGCTGAATGAGTATATGAAGTCTCTTGACCTTTGCTGAAAAGGCCAAGGCACAAATCATTACCACAGGAAAACTGCAAAGCTTTGCAAGGCCAGGTCTATGTACAAGTGAAGACTACAATTCAAATTCCATACTTTACAGGAAAGAAAAAAAAATCATCATTAGTAAGATATGTCAAGTTTTAGAAATACTAGGAGCCAGGCATTGGTGGCACATAACTTTAATCCCAGCACTCCAGAGGCAGAGGTAGGTGGGTCTCTGTGTGAGTTTGAGGCCAGCCTGGTCTACAGAGCGAGTTCCAGGACAGGCTCCAAAACAATACCCCCCCCCCAAAAAAAAACTGTCTGGAAAAAAAAAAAACAAATAAAGGGAGGGAGGGAAGGAGGAAGGGTAGGAGGCAGGGAGGAAATGAAAAAAACAAAATACTAGGACAAAAATCTTAAATCAAGTGCTCAAATACTTGCCAAGTGTGAATCACCATTAAGAGGTGGCCAAAGGCTGGGCTATGGTGGTGCATGTCTACAATCCCAGCTCTTGGGAGGCAGAGACAGGTGGATCTCTGTGAGTTCAAGCCAAGCCTGGTCTACAAAGCAAGTTCCAGGACAGCCAGGACTTTTACACAGAGAAAGTATCTCAAAAAATAAACAGAGAGACTACCAATGACAACTTTTAAATGTCCCTTTGTATTTTCTAATATATTTTCAATACTCCTATAAAATTAAATGTGTATGTGTAGACAGGTATTCATTCAATCATATCTATGTATGAAATATATCTGAATATTATTGGAAATACATTTCCTTGTGAATGGCAATGCATGAAGTTCTAATGTGACTATAATTAAATTTTTTTTCAAAGGAAAAATATTATCTACTTCTTTTAATTTTTCCCTCAAAACAAATCAGAGTATAAGGGGAAAAAATAAAAGAACTAAAAATTTAGTGACACTAAATTTATTATTTTCAAAAGTATACACATGTACATAACACATGAACTTATGGTATTTATTATGTTAAATACAGAATCCACTAACCCAAGTAAAATATGCAGTCATTAAATTATCTCACCTTATTTCCCAATTTAAACACTTCTTCCAAATTGGTGCTATTGGTATTTATCATAATTGAATCTGTATCTCCATAAATAACTTCAAGATTCATCTAATAAAAGCCAAAAATATAAAGATTAATAACAAAATCACACTGATCATTACAAACAATGAAAGTAAAGGTTTCTAGTTCTAGAGACTATAAATGACACTGGTTTTTCACAGGTCATGTTACTTACTACCTGTACTGTCAGGGTATACAATTGAAGATTAAGCCCTTTGTGAACTTGAAATGCAAGCAGTACAAAATTACGAAAACCTTCCCAATTTTCTTTTTGAAAATCTGGAAGAATTAACTGTTTGTAGTTCCAATTGAAACAGAACATGGAATTTAATAAAAATAAAAATAAAACTAGGAAACAGGGTCTATATTTAACAATTCTACCATGTATCTAGTGGTCATAGCAGTTTAAGAAGCAAAAGTATGGATTTAAAATATCCTGGGGTGCAAATATTTATTGGATTCTCAAACAGTATTTAGTAGACTATGAAGTGTGGCAAAATAATATATCATAGCAAACAACACTGGAGCATATATATTATAAAGGCTTGGTGATAAACTCTAATTAGCATCATTACTAATTTGCCTGAAACACATGGAGGCTTCAAGCAGGGGCTAGATCACATCAGTGTTGATACAAGAGAAAAGGCTATATAATCCATTAGGAAGGATTATAAACCTAAACTAGGCATCCTAAAAGAAAATTAGCATGTTTGGGTTACAATTTTCTCCGAACTCAAAAAAGTCACCTAAAATATTCAAGAGTTGTTTTAGAATGAAATGGTCAGCATTACCTTCTGTACCATCTCTTTTGTATGCATCAAAATCTAAATAAAACAAAAGCCAACATTAATACATTACACAATTACAGAGGCACAAATATAACACAACACATTTCCAATTTCTAAGCATCTTTAAAGCTCCTAAATGTCTCACAACACCCAATCTCAAATAATAATAACAAAATCAATATAATCTAAGTTTGCCTTATGCTGATACTTAGTAGAGACACGGCAAGACAATAAATCTCTATTTCTGTGTTTCTTTAATAAACATGTATAATAAGGTACCCCTAATAGTTATGGCAAAGTCACTTATTTTCAGTACTAATATTTTAGTAGAATTGCATGATTAAAGAAAGCTTTATAGTACTTAAAATCTAGCAGTTCATACCCATATTCAGAATCTTAAAAGGTGAATAACAAAGTACTCCATTTACTTTTAAAAAATCTTTTCTAAACTAAATTCCTTGAAGGAAATTATGTGGCCTAGAGATAGTACAATGCCCAGTAAAATTATGGATTTCAATAAACAGTAAATTAACACAAACATACAGACAATTATGAATGGATCTGGCCCGCAGGCCTACATGGCTATGTGCTATAAAACATAAAGTAATGTACACACAGACATAAACAGATATGCTACCTTGGGCCCTATAAGAAGCATCATATATAATATGTGAAGGACTTTGAAGACTTAATAATATGATGCATTGAGAGCAGAGACAGAGGCAAAGAGATACTAAATAATGTGCAAGATGATACAGTGCTCAGAGAACTTCCTGCATTCTATCCTTTCTTTCTCCAAGATCTGCAAGAGGTAGCTACTATTAATATCCTCTTTTCTTAGCTGTGAAACGACAAAGAAGTATTTTTTCTCTCCTAGCCACAGGAAAACAAGGGCACAAAACTAGGCACTCCATACTATTACTATTCCACTATCATTCATTCTTCATGCATCAATCCAAATCAGAAGTTTCTTTCCAAGGAGTCAGATAGAAGTTGGTTTTCATTCATGGTTCTGTCTCCCACCTTGTCAGACAAACTGAAATCCCAAGGCTTCTTCTATCTTTAAAGCATCTTACCCATCTGTCCATCACTGCCCATCTTCACTGTCTACTCCTCTTTATTACTATAGCCCAACTCTGTTCAGATGTTCAAAAGTTAGTGGCTTCCATGCCTTGACGGGGTGGGAAGAGTTGTGGTGAATTCTAATTAAGCTAAGCAATTGTTTTTATAGTGGCTATATAGTGGAATTACCTAAGGATCTTTAAAAAACTAAAGCAGAGACAACCAAAACATGTCTCCAGAACTTGCTCCTGGTCTAAAACTCTCTCTGACTCTAATACTGAGAGTTACTATGCAACCACACTACTTTCTATAATTTATTACATGGTTCTATTTTTTTTCTCTCCCAAAACAAACATTTCTGCCCCAGAATCTCTTTGACCAGAAGTGGGTGGGGGTTTTCTATTAATTATTATTTTTTTTCATTTATTTTATATCCTGACTGTAGTTTGTCCTCCAGTCCCCTACCTTCACCTCCCCTCTACCCACTTCTTTGTTTCTGCTCAGAAAGGGGCAGGCCTCCCATAGGCGTCAACAAAGCATGGCATATCAAAGCTTCTCCCTTTGTTTTATTTATGGCTGGGTGAGGGGGGAATTTGGTCCCAAAAGCCAGCCAAAGCATTAGGGATAGTCCCTGCTTCCTCTGCTAGAAGCCACACAAATAGACTGCTACACAACTGTCACTTGTAAGTAGAGGGCCTGGATCAGTTCCATGCAGGTTCTCTAGCTGTGTAACCAATAGTTTTTAAAAAGAGCTTCCAAGATGGTTCTTAGGACTGGTCCAAGAAAACCATGGCAATTCCATTCTGGAGATATTACTGACTTAGACATGTTCATAAGGCAACTTTACCTTGACCAATCAAAGGTAAGAATTCCTCTAGGAAACTTAAAAGTGTTTTGTTTTGTTTTTCCTCATGAGCATTAGAATAACACCAGCCTCATAGATTGAGGTCAGGCTAGAGCAGCAATGGTCATCATGGTAATCATGGAGAACTATGCCAGAAAGTTCAAGCTAAAATGCTGACAATGTACCTGACTCACAGGGGCTATGTGGTTACTGCTAAATGACACCTGTAAAGTAACATTCTAACTTTACTTAGGACTTATCACCTTGAATGAATCAGGACTAATCTCCAACATCAGAGCCTCCAAGATCAAGCCCAAATTCTACAGTTACATCTAAACCCCAGCTCTACCTTTACAGTTGTTATTTTCTTCATAAAACATCTAACTAGGCAAGAAAAAAATCCCAATCTGTGGATAGTTACCATATGCAGGTCCATTTTTTTGTTGCCTTCACTCATATCAAGTTGGAATCTCTTCCCCAGTCCTCACCACAATTACATCTTACAATGCTCAGCTTAAGCCAAAATTTATTCCATAAAGCCTGAGCTGACCACCCAAACCTAGAACAATCTCATTACCTGTGTTTGCTCTGTTTAGTAACTGAATGGTGCTTTGTACTATTAATGGCTGTTACCCTCCCCAAGTAGACCACAAACTTATGGAGGTCCAAGGGCATGCCCACACCTACAGACCTTAGATAAGACAAGCAATCAAAAGCTATTTGTCAAGTGAATGGAAGCTCCCATTATAATCTCAATTTTTTTCTAACAGACACTAAAATTAATGTAGTATGTACAATGCAGTATGGGAAATAGGACATAATGAGATTGGCCCAAGTTCAGTCAATCACAGAGAAGACAGAACTATTTATCAAAGGTTTAACTGAAACTTCTTACAAGACTTAGCTACTCTCATCACAATGGTCAACTCCATAAGCTCCCAGGTAACTAAGGAAACTCTTCCATGCAAATGAAGTAGCCCACAATCAATTTGTCACTTTTTCATTACATACTCAGTATCTATGTTCTCCAGTGCTTTCTACAAAGAGCTGGTGACAATGCCCTCATGTCAGAGCTCTCAATACAGTCTGCAATTCTTCAGTTTATCTGATGGTGTTTCAGACAAACTGTAACCAGGCTGATCACTATACTCTTGTGCTTCTTCATGAAGCAGTTCTACATGGTGAATATTGCAGTGACCCAGAGTCCAATGCTTATCCAATTACTAATGAGCAAGATCATCCAAAGGCTGCCTTAGCCTCAGGCCTCAATTCAAATGCTCACTAGGGAGGGCTCTGCCGTTGGATAGCCAGTGAACTACAAAACTTTGCATCTAGCAGAAGGCCTGGTATATAGGGACCACTAATATACAGCTGGAGGGTGACAATCCTAAACGGTAGGTAGTTTCACAATACCCATGTGACAAATGATGAAAATTAAGATCTGAGACTTTACCTGAAGAAGTGATTGATACAGAGGTTATAGTTCTATAGTTCATGCCTGACACAGAAGCAGGACCTTTGGATTAAATTCTTTTCACTGTGTCCCACAGACTTCACAGACTTATTACAAAGGCTAACCCATGTGAATGTTCTAGAAACTATTAATCAAAAACTTATATATTACAGGTATTTTCCCCATTGAAGAAATGCATTTTTAAAAATAGCTCCTGGTATCCAGAAAAATCTACTGGACACAAGGTACAATGAATACAAGATGATCATTTATAAATTCACTTCAAAGTGACAAGCCTAATATTAAAGCTAGCCATTCTGACAGAAAATCATTTTATAAGCACCAGCGGCCAGCAAACAGGGCTCTAAAAGATTGCTAAATTCATTAATAAGGCAGTCTGAAGCTATCTGATTTCACAGCAACACCTGCATATTTAGCTACTCATTACCAATTGGATGATGGAATTTTTTCAAGCACATTTCAAAAATCTGCCAACTTCAAGTGTAAAAAAATAAACTTTGTGGTTAATTTTTCCCTTAACAAAGTACAGCTGTTGAGAATAATTGTTCAAGATCTTACCCTGTAATGTCAACTGCAGCAGAACAAAGAGTATTTAATTAGCAAATCTATCCAGTAATTCAACACCTATTATATAAAATGCCTTCGTGATTTTATTCAGGATAATTTGCTAAGAGGGTTATTACTGACATTCAGATGGAATTTAAAATTCCTACGCAAGTCGAGTCATAATAGCAGTAATGATCTCCCCAATCAGGAGATTCGGTGTCACACAAGGCTCTCTTGCAATGCAGCAGCCGATTTCCTGACTTCTTAATTCCTGGGCTCAGCTCAGTGAGAGCCCTTCATGCCGATATTTCAGTCAGCAATACATCTTTAATGGGACTCTATTAAAATAACTAGAACAAAAATGACTTTTTTTTTGGTTAAAAAGAATGACAGCACTGCCATCATATCAATCATTGCAGGCTTTGCAGAACAGTGCCTTTAGGGGGAAAGAGGAGGGGGAAACAGGAAAGGGGTATGGGTGGGGGTGGGGAAAGCAATAATTGAAATAATATCAAAAGGTATTTTAACCCAAATCTGAGCTTCTGAAGGCTGGAGAAAGGTGGTAAAAACTAAAAATGAAAAAAAAAATTTAAAAATTGGTTTTAAAAGAAAATGGTATGTTTTGGAATACACTTACAATGTGCTGTTTACTAATAAGGAGAAACTACAAGTTTTCTACACCAAGGTCAATAGCAGCAACCTAAGTCTACTACTGACATGTGTATTTATAGGTTTTCCTAACATGCCCAGGAGGACACCTAGGTATTTATTGATATTTTCTTTCAAAAGAATACTGCTGTGCTGCAAAGCATTCAAAAGTTATGAAATGTTTCTAGATGCCATTGCAAATTAATAGTGTTTATTAACACTAAACAATTGAGGGCATCAACTTTTCACTGTCAAAAAAAAGTTTCAAGATACTACTCCCAAGATTATGTCTACTAAAAAGAAATCCACTCAGATGTATAATCTATGTGTTAAGCACACTGAAAATCTTACATTCTAATGAAATATTACATAAGGTCAAATTCTAAACAAATAATGCATAAAGAGAATGTTAAATGAAAACTCAATGGTTACTAATGACACAGAATTAGAAATAACTGAAAA